TTTTTGTTCTTTTTGCCTTTCTGGGCAGGTTCCTTCCAAGCAAGCACGATCTTTATATAGAAACGATTTCTTCTATTTGAAAGACTTTATGTCAAATAAATGTACAGGTCCTGTTTTTTCCTTTTGCCTGATAAGAAATATGCAAAATATACCGGACAGGTTTTCCCTACACTCTCTTCTATAATATATATATATATATATATATGTCTCATAGGAGTAATGTGGCAACCGCCTCGGCGTGATCTGCTGGAGGTCCTATGACCTCTGGCTTCACCTGCAACACAAAAACGTTGAAGGAATATCTTCTATTTGATTTGACCGCCGAGGAGGTGAACAAAGATATATAATGCTTGATCGACGACAAAGTGCCTGGCTACTTGTAGTAGCTGTCTGGGATTCCTGCCAGGAAATTTTTGGAACGGGAGAAATGAAGGCATTTGTCTATCTATTTGTCTATCAATCTCTCCCTCCCTCCCTATATACATATATATATTACACTGCTTATACAGCGATACAGCGATTGTTCAATCTTAATATTGGTCCCCCTTGCCTTGGGACCAGCGCAGCAAATGCAGGCAAACTTCTGGGCCCTGTAACGAAGGTGGAGCACTGCCTCGATCTGGCTGGATTTGTTTCTCTTGGCTGCCATGCCAGATTCCTTGGTCTCTGCAAGCAGCGCTTTGGATGGTAAACAATCCAAATGAGCAAGGCAGCTCTTGGCCCACATCGCTGCAGCCACAGCCGCTGCTTTGTCGTTGGCTGCGAAACTGTGTGTCGACTGTCCCACCTCCAATCTCCATTTCTTCCAGCCACCATGGAATTTCAGCTGTTCTGGTACTCCAAGCATGTCTTGGTCGCTGATTGCTTGAGAAAGAGCAGCCTAAAGGGTTCATGATTTTAACGTCCCCCTATGTTCCATGAACAAACTGGTTATATATATATATATATTTGGCACATGGCACCCACCATTCTGATAGTCCTGCCTGGAGGTCTTCCTTGGGGCTGATGGAGCTCAAAACAGAGAGAACCACCATTCCCACATTTCCAACAATCATACCATTGCCACAGCCACGGTGCCATTGTGAAGTGTTGTCCAGCTCCACCAAACCCACACCTGCAGCTGCCGCCATGTCCTAACAGGAAATGTCAAATAGAAGATATTGTCCCTCCAATTTGGTCCGTGGTGACCTTATTTTGGCTTTCACGGGGATGATTTGTAAGACAATCTGATGTAAAACGCCAAGAGCATGTCCAAAGCCCAAAGGTCCTTATGCACAGGGAATCCTGCGAGTGACATCTTCTCTTTTGCTGACAGCCATCTGTTCAAATGCGTAAGCATTATCCTCCGTGTGCTATCAGTGGTGAAGCTGGGCAACTTGTCCTCTGAGCCAGCCATGAACATATACTCTGGATCTTGAGACACGCAAACGGCTCGTATTTGTCGGAGCTCTTTTGGCTGATCTAGCTGTCCGAGATGCTCCAAGTATTTTGTGTAGTTGGCTTGCTCATTGGAGCTGAGCAGCCCCGTCCAATCGGTCATCTCCATTGTTTTGGCTTCCTCAGCAGACATGACACTATTCTGATTGCGGTTCTCCACCATCTCTTGCCGCAGGTCCTTCTCCCACTCGGGACCGTTCATCCAGGCTACATGTTGCAATTCCACGGGTCTCATGACACTAGTCAGGCGCTCCACCAAACGCTGGTACACTTCAGCTGGGTCCCGGATCTGGTTGAAGTACTTCTCCAAGATGAAGACATCATACCTTATGTACCAGCAAATGGGTGATTGTTATTTTACCTTCACATCATAATATCTTCTATTTGAAAAGGCGAGTTGTACATGCCAATAATGAAAGCTATCCAATATCTTCTATTTGAAAAAACTAGTTGTACATGCCAATAACGAAAGCTATCAAATATCTTCTATTTGAAATGCTATCACCCTTCTAGACTGGGAGGAAGATGTAAATATGTATTCTATATTAAACACATAGATGAAATCAGTAAGCTTATATGTGTATGGTATTTTGGAAAAGGGCAAAGTCTGCTTAAGCTGGCTTAGGTTCAAGCGCTGTCGGCTGTTTGCTTTCATCGCACAGTTCTCTCCAGTAGTCTGGATACTGGTCAAAAACCGATACCCAAAGTGTCCAAGCTTTGCTGACAAATAGCTGCTTGAGAAACCCCGCACGTTTTCATGGATCAAAGCTGGGGTTTGCTTCCGTCCATGATGAATAGCCCATATGAGCATAAGCTTGTTATGAGGTGAGTTCTCCTTCAGCAATTTCCCATCGTCTTTCTTTCCAAGGGTGGAGTATCCCAAGCACATACTGCCAGTGACGTCCATGATTGTCAAGGGAAAAGAACACCTTGCAGGGATAGGTGCCTTCGCAAATAGAAGATATTGAAATTGCTTTTCTTCTATTTGCTCTTTTCCTGGGAAGGTACTAACTGCTAATTTCTATAGAAAACATCATTTGTGGTCCATGGCTGAGCCCTGTATATATATATATATGTACCAGGCCTGTTCTTGTGCCTGGAGCAAAGACCTTCAGAAAGAAATTGCTTCTTCAGCAAAAACTCCCACAAGTCTTCTGAAGGATTGGAGCTGGCTTGCTCAATCTTTTCTAACTCGATTCGATCCACATCTCGGAGCCTGCGCAGGATATCGATGTGCTGGCATGTATGTGCATCAATTCTATCCAGGCAAGCTTGGCGGGCCTTGACTGCTATCTCGAATTGGTAACTCGAGGAAAACGATTTCCCATCTGTCTCCCTCTTGCCCTTCAACGCAGACTCCAACATCTGGAAGGCTGTCTCTGCGCATCCGTATCCGGAAAACCAGGTTGAGATAGGCAAAGTCTCCATGGATTTCAACCAGCCCAGCTCCCCCTGCTGGTCCAGGTAGTCCACACAGCATTTGGCCCACCGGAACGAGGCCACCAGCTCTTCTGGGGGCCCCATTGCCCACAAGTCAGACAGCTTTGAGATGCTTTGAGAGCTCTTTCTACACACATTATCCCAATTATAATAGAAGACATTGCAGCTATATATCTATGTATCTGGGAGGGTGCCATTTGTACCACTCAAATTTATTGGATTCTAGCTCTATCTATTGTGGTTTCTATCTATTCTACTTGCTGGCTCTGTCCTTACTGCCTGCTAGCTCTATATATATATATATAAATGCACCTGCCGCCACATGCTTTCTTGGGCCAGGCGGGCGATCAGAACCCCCGAAGACTAAAACAGTAAGCAAGGCCCGGTAGGAAAGTCAAATAGAAGATCATGTTCAAATAGAAGATCCACCCCACCAAGCCACATTCAAATAGAAGATATATATTTTTGAGCAGAAAGTCCAAAATGCAAAAGTAGCTCAAAAGACCAAA